GGTTTTCGTAAATAAAAAGAATCCACTTAACAGCTGCTACTACGATAAAAGTAATGAAATAAAAAGCAGCTTCAATAATTTTCAGCTTCTCCTTTACTGATCGTTTTCAAATGATGAACCCTAGTTCTATATATAGTAATATTTGTCATTTAAAATAATAATTTACATTTCGACAGCTGTCAAATACACACTAATTTCCATATAGAGATCTAACTTCACATCTAACTTCATAAAGAAATGTAGCAGTCTAAGAAAAGCTGTCGCGCATTTATATGGACTAGTGCGTGTCAATTTTGAGCTGCCAAATACAAATGGTTTCAGGCAAACTAAGTAGGTTCAACACCAAACATGATGACTCAATTAACACCTTAATTGCTATAGCTAATTGAATTATTTGAGCTGATATAAATAACGCATTGTTAAGCACAATATAATTTGTAATCTCTGTATATTTTGCTATACAAACCACTGTGCAAATGGGTGTCAATTACAATTAACGAAAATATTCAAGCAAAAATATTCTTTCTCGTTTTTCGAAATCACAACTAAACACGAATATAACAATAAGTTAAACAACCGTTTAAATATCCATCAAAGATCAGTGTCTAGGTCATGCCCATTTACAATATTTTTAGCGAAAATGCATTGAACTCGACAAAAATTATATAGGTGAAAATAACATGAGTCATGGCATGAGAAACATTTTCTACACACACACTCGTATGTATCTATAATTTCACAACATTTCACAAATCTTAATTCGTAAATTTTTAAATAGGTTCATTGCCCTGTTTACTTTTCACGAAGAGGGTTGAAAATCCTCACTGCAATGTCAATGCACAGATTTATTTCTACTACTTAATCCCTTCCATTAACCTTTTTCGAAGACAAAATATATTTCTCCTCTCCACCTCCCCAGTTATAAAAGCACTAGCGAATGAAAATGTGTAATGACAGCGCGATACTTATCTTAGACTTATCTTTATTTTTATTGATTAATTCTGTTAACAACGTGCTTACCATATAGCCAGTCGACTAGAAAGAATGTGAGACATATATAATATGTACCTCTATTACGTATCGCTAATACCGCGAGTATAGTTGCTGTTCGACAACAGTATGCCAAAATGTATATTACAAGTGGATATCGACTACCGCAGGCAGTTGCGATATTTCTACAATCTGTTGTAATAGCGTTTATAATATCTATTATCGCTTTAACTGAGCGAAACCTACCCTTCGACGTTTCAAGTGATATTTCAGAGATATACTTATAGATAATGTTTATGTGATCACTCAAAGAGATATCTCAGATATTTCTGCAATGCTTGCAGAAGGGATCCTCAAACCTTTTGAGACGAACAACAATTAAAATAGGCAAATAAGAAATCAATTTTGTGAGGCTTTCTGGATTTTGGCTTCCAACAAAAATATAACGACTTAATTGAAATTTTTGTTTTACAATAGAATCACAACTACGGAATCGTTGAAAATGTTGCAGAAGTATTTTCGGAGTCTACTTTATCCCGAACATAAATTTTAATGTGATTTTGAAGCATTCAAATTTAATCAGTTGATAAAGTGTGATTATTCATCAAAAAAATATTATAATACTAGTGCTATAGCGGTAAAAACCTTCCAAAAGTTGAACATGTCAAAATAGCAAATTAATTCCAAGCACTATTTCAACTCCCACCACAATTTATTCGCCTATTCATGGCACTTTTGCGTAGAATATCTTTATTATTATTTGCATGCCTACAGCAATGACGCCTACTAAAGCACGCAACCCCATCATCATAACCCCACAAATATTTTCCACTACTCATACCCAAGTGCAACCACAAATATTTTATTAAAAGCACTAAAAGGAAAATGCTAACGAACAAGCAGGCAAAGCTCTCGTTGATTTTATCTCTCTGTCGCTATTCATCACTCACATCTCTCTCTTTCCTCGGTAATATATATACGAGTATTTCTTATTTCATCAAAAAGAAGAGATTTCAAGAAACATAAAGCTTACTGACTTTAAAAAAAAAAAATCGGATATTTTGACGCGAGAAATTTTGATAAAAAACTGGGTTTTTTTCGATTTTAAGTTGAAATAAGGTGTTCTCCTTAATATTATAAATAAAAAAAATAAGATGGGACATAAGTAGGTACATTTACTCAAAATTTCGCCCAAGAATATTTTTTGTTGTGCAAGACAAAAATAAAGTACTCAAAAACTTGAAAATTGATTTTTTCACATACATTTTGAGGTTATGTGAAAAAGGTGTTGTTATAAAAGTAGTAAATCTTTTCAATACCTACAACTTTGGCATATAACATTTTTCTATAGGACTTCTAGTTTTGCCGGACTTCTAGTTTTGCCGAGTTAAACCGTTTTTGACCCTTAAAAATTCAACCACGCCCCTCCTCTTTCCTCTTACCGACCGCAGATCGTCCGTGCATATTCTTCGTTTAATTTTTGATACTTTATCTTGTGTTTCCAATCGATTTCATCCTACTATGATTTTTTTTTGCTTTCAAATATTATCTACCCCGGTCTAATCATATTACATATACATATCTACAAAATTTTAAGCATAAGGGGTTACATGGGTTTCACGGCTTCAAAAAAATAAAAATTCTATTATCTTGTTAAATTCTATAACATATATAGAATATTGTCCAAAATTCTCAACTTGATACCAGTAATAGTATTGGAGATACAGCTTTGAAAAGTTGCGCGCTCGAGCTCAGCTATATAACGTTAAACGCGTTTTTCTCGAAACTGTGTTTTCAAAGTCGGTTGTCAAGATTTCTCTAATTTACAATTTCTTGCCGCGGAGGATTTTTTTTTTGTGTTCAATTACAATTATTTAAAAAACAAAAAAACGTTCACCAAAATTTGCACGTTTTTGTAAAAAAGTCTGCCAAAAATACAATTTTCACTTGATTTGTTTTTTCTCATCCCAATACCTAGTTCAAACACAAATTTCTTTTTACTTTAGATGATCCTATCAGAAATTATGCTGTCAACGCGGAAGCACCTTTTTTCCGAGGGTCTGCCGAAATGACGTCGTAATGACGTAGTTTTGAATATTTTCCTTTGAAATTTTCAAAATTTTTTTATAAAAAAGTTATGACCAAAATAAAGATTTCTTTACAATATGTGTAGTTTATATTTTATATAATTTTTTCCTTCTCCTGTAAACTTTTGAAAGTGATGTAAGTTTATTATTTTGCATTTTAAGTGACGACATATACAAATGATAATTTTAGTAATATGATAATTTCAAAATCGTCAAGGTATGCTCGGCACACAACGAACATGTGTCTCCATAAAAATGCAATATTAAAATTTATATGATAAGCTGTTAAAATAAGCTGTGAGAATATTTCTAAGCTCGACTTGAATTTTTGTAAAACAAAATATGTATATATTGTATATATATACATAAATGTACATAAGTATGTGTTACATGAGATAGCCCCATTGTATTTCTTAGCAATTTGTAAAGCCATAAAATAATAACATTGTACGTGAACAATCAGTGAAAAAATAGATTTTACTATAGTAGCAGTGACAATAACGCGACAATAACAACCATCATGTATTCATTGATACATACATATGTGTGTACATATAGTATATGCGTGTTGATTGAGATATACTTGTATGAATACGAGTGTTTTGTACTTGATTTTGAGTGTCTTTTAGGTTCAATGTGTCGTAAATATAGTGATTAAAACGTCACATTCATATATTTACAAGATAATACAATATAAAAATAATAAATATATATAATATATATGTTAATACAATCTACAAATATGTGCATATACATACTTATATGCTTATTTGATTTTGTCGCAGTATACTTATATAGCTAGTTGATAACATCATTGAAAGAAATTAAAATTTCTGCAAGAAATCTAGCATAGTGACAGTTAAAAACAGTCAAATACATATGTACATATACAATTATGCTTGAGCGCAAAGCTTTTAGTAAATGTCTTAATTAATATGCAGCACATTTGTATAACAATTGATTTTAATAGCATTAAATAAATG